CCAGATGTTCATCATATCAAGTTCTTTCACACTACATCCGTTAAATATTCCGCTGGATTTATTATTTATTTTATTCTTTTGAGTGTCTTGCAGCGAGTCCTAATCTCTTCTCTTCTATGCCCGCCATATGACTTCATATCTCACTCTTTTTTGTGCATAAAGCTTTCCCTGCTGGATACTCTTTGATCCATTGTTCACATTTAGCCTATCTGGAGAAGAATATTTTTTTAGCGTTGTGTGCCATTGCGATTTTATTGCTGATCTCTTGCTTTCTGTCCATCTTCATAGTTGTCGCTATGTATGCTTGTATACCTGATCCTATATTCGCATACTTTTCTGCCTAACTTTCTAGCAATTTATTTCGCTATATGCCTATCTATCGATATTCCTTTCAGTCTTTTTATTCATATTCGAACTTTATATTCTCCAGCCTACTAAATTTTGCAGTTACCATGTTATTAGGACCAGCCCTATCATCTTATTCTATGCACTTTTCTAGGAAACTATGGAAATGTAATTGTAACTATCCAGCAAAACGGGGACTGGGAAAGTTGATCTATGATCTTTTGTATAAAGTTATTTGCTCATCAAGCACTAGTTTTTATTTTGTTAAGTCTGGCTACTTTATGCAAACGCTTAGCTCGATTTTTACAACGCATCCAATTTCTTATTGTCAAACATACTTCCTTGTTTAAAGCTTTATTTTTCTCATGTATATGCTTTTGACACCTCTGATGCTACTAGCAGCCATTTTTTCAGACTAACCTCCTTGTGCTCCTCAACTAAATTGTATATAGTTTTTAGTACAAGCAATCAAATCGGGTATTATCCCTGAGTTAGATAGTCTATAGATTCCTATACACTTACATTTGAACAATTGCCTACCTTGTACAACCTTTAAAATTAGCTTTTCATTCTGTCCATTTTAGCCTATAAAATGGTAGACGAAAACAGCATGACAGGCAATCAGCCTTTGAAGACTTCAGCCTAGGTGAGGTACCAATTTCGACCAAGATTTAACAAGACTGTTGGTTATTCTTGTAGTTTCAGCCTTAAAGGCTTCATTTAGGACATATGAACCTAGGAAGCAGATGAACACCGTTTGTCCCCTAAACACCACATATCACCCACTTGATGACGACACCCGAGCAACAGAAATTCTAAAATTCATTAACTCTTTCGAGCATTAATTTCCTTGTTGATTTACAACCCTTCCACAAAGCTTAGTATTATTACGAAAACGTCCTATTCTTACTGTGCGAACGATGAGCAAAGGGGTCGTTTCTTTGAAGCATCAATTGCATTTAAGACTTATTTTATATGCATTCAAAAATACATCATTGCACATGCAAACGACTAAGTGAAAACATGCATACAATTGTTTAGAATAACTTCACTATTGTGCAACCAAAAATTCTCGCCAAGAGATATTTTAGCAAAGCATACATATTTAATGACTATTAATTTGTTCATAAGAACCTTTCATTGACATCTTTACTGTTCTATAAAATTTCCCGGAAGCTAAATCATTTCACCTCAGTCAAAGCGAGACAATCTTTTCGGTAACACTATATAATCACATATAACCACACTGAACTTCGTACAGATTTGGCATTTTCTGATAATTCCATAATTCTTCAGCTATAACTTATTAAGCTTAATCACTGAGCAAAACTTGAGGAATGTCTAACCAGGCCCAATAGATGATTATGGTCAAGGTCGGATATTTGGGTTGCACAAGAGTATAGAGGGGCTACCTTGTGACCGAAGTATTTGATTGTCGCACAGAAGCCACAATAGTTTATAGTTTATATGAATAATAATAAAACCGCCCGAGTGGTTCATCTTTGGCCAGGGAGCTAAGACAGGAGAGAAATTATTATTATTATCTAATAGAAATAGTTACTTTAATCAAAAAAAGAACCCAATCTTGGGTTGGAGGCAAAAAAATTAACAGCTGATGATCTGGACGTTTGCTAGTCGTTCTCTGCACGAAAAATAAAAGAGGTCACTTATTCTTTAGTAGACTTTACTCTATGATGTCTACCAATGGTAGGTACTTAGCCTCTTACTAGTATCCTCAATGTTAGTGATGTTTAGGCATTGAATGCCCAAAAAATCAACTAGTTATTGTAAAAATTCATCTTACCAACCTCGCGCGGGCCTTATAACTTAATTCCAAATTTATTTCTTCAAGAGAGAACATGTCGATTAGGGGACAGATGCTTGTCCTTTGAACTTGATCTAGATTTTTTTTAATTAAGAAATTTCTCCATATTTACACTACTTCAACCTTGAGGAACTGTTAGGCGTGTCTCACTTTGCATTTTATCTTAATTGCTTTCTCAGATGATACCGAATATCCAGGCTCGACTAAATATTTCATATGTTCAC